GCGCGCGGGCCTTTACCGCCCCGCGCCGGGACCGGCTTCCCGCCCTTGGGGGGCGCCCGCGCCGCTGCCCTGGCCGAGCGAGCGAGCGCCCTCCGGGCGCCTCCAGGCTGCCCTCGTTAAGCAGCTGACTGAACCCCCCCGGCCCCCACTGGCCTTTGAAGTAGCGCCGTCCTGACTGCGTGTTTCTTAGGAGAGGCCATGCCGCCGGGTTAAAACGTCACGAAAAAGAAGAAAGTACCTTTTTGTTTTTTTAAAGTGCGTTTTAGAGACGTTTTTTAGTGTGTCTTGGTGGGTGGGAGAAGATTGAAAGAGAAGGATGAGTAGCACGGCAGCAGCGGGATCACCACAGGATCTTGGAGTTCAGAGCTGTTGCCGCAAATGTGTAAAATGGAAATAATGTTTACATCTGCGCTGTTTCTCGCTCTTTGCGTTCCTGAGTGCGTGCCCCTCTGTCGGCACAGGCTTGCCAGTTTGTCCTCAGCCTTTGGATCCGGTTTCCTTCCACTCACGTGGGTCAAAAATCGTGCAGGCAAAACGCGAAACAAACACGAATTCCTGTTTTCAGCAAAATGAAAGTCATATTTTGATTTTTCTCTTGTAAAAGGTTCTTCCTTCCACCCACGTGGCTTAATTTTTGGAGGAATCTTAATACCCTGCTGTTCTTCCTGAAGTTGTCTTTCATTCTTCTGGGGATGGATAGTGTTGCTCCAGCGTTTCAGCACGATACTGTACCACCCATAACCTTGAACAGGTTGTCATCACAGTCAGAGAAGAGCAGCTCTGATCTTTCCCTCTCTGTGCGTGTATGTGCTTTTATATAGAAAGGTAGATGGATAAGCTTAGAAAGCAGCAATGGAAATAAATACCTGGATTCTTGTTTGTGCAGTTATATCTAGTTCAGTGGCTCTTGCTTAACGATTGCATAGGTTTTGTTCGCCTGAAGCTTGCTGCAGTATCAGGGACTTTCTTCTAGTTTATTAAGTATCCTTTTAAAGTCTCATCTGTCCGAAATACCCTGTGCTTTTGAGATGTCAAAGATAGTAACTTTGCAAAACCATCAACTTTGTTCTTGGAAAACAGAAATAATTTGGGTTGCGTTTCACATTTAGGAGAAAACAGCATGTCTGTAGATTAAATCGTTCATAAATTCCAGCTTGAAGGCACCAACTTGTAGAATGGAAAAATATATTCAGATAATTTCGTTTGATCTAACTTTCAGACAATCAGAAGAGATAATGGTGGTGCTGCTCTTTTAATATTTTTTTCTGCTTACCTTTTATAAAGATAGTGGTGTGCACAACCCTTAAAAACATTTTAATGGTTTATAGTGGTGATTTCAGCTGTTTTTTTCCCATATGTGGCATTAGCTTAAAGAAATTAGTTTAAGGAACAAAATGAGTTGCTCTTATTACGTCAAGTGCTTCAGATGCCAGAAATTATGCTTACATCACTCCCCACTCTCCACACACACAGGCAGTCGGGCTTGATAAATCTGCATGTCTTCGTCTTTACCTGGCTAGATCGCTAGGTCTTTGAGGTGGATAGGGTAGCAACAATGAAAAAGAAATGGTATAAAAACCTGCATGTAAATATGTAAAACGAATGTATTTTGCCTGTTAGTGCTCCCAGGCTGTCTCATTATGGAAGATCCTATCTTTTTGACTGGCAGTGGCAGTGCAGATGTTTTCTGGAATCATGTCAATACATAGACTGCTGTTCTTTGACGTTTTGGGGAAAAAACCCAACCTGCCGCACCAAAATAAAAATAGGCCAAAAAAAGGTGAGCAGAGAAAAATGAGTATAAATATGTGGAAATTCTATTTCAAATGTTTACTGTGCATAATCTACTGTACGTGCTATTACTCTGCGTGATGTAATGGCTTTAGTTATTTGAAGTGGTTGTTATTAGTCATGATTTTGGCATACATAAGTCAGGGAATCATAACTCTTCTGTAGCTTATTTAAACCAATCCACAGCCAAGTGAGGTGACTGGAATGACTCTGAGTTCAGTTAGCCTTGAATCAAACCCTAAAAGAAGAAGATATCAAAAGTGCTATCTTTCTGTCTCAAATGGATTTTAACTATGAAAGGAAAATAACTCCATTTTCAGCATCCTGTGCACTTAAAGGACATGTAGTCAGAAACATTTGTAAGTTTTTTACATTTGAAAGGGCAATATTGAAAATAGTTACCTATACATTTATAACATGGTGTTATAACATTCTATAAATATATTTACACAATATACAATTTTTTTTAATAGTATGGTATTTACTTCCACTTACCAGTAGTTTGTTGGCCCTTATTTCTGCAGTTCAGCTGCTGAACAATGAAAATAAATGATTAATTTCTACTTTCTAGTAAAATGAGCAAGTCTACTTACCAACATTTTCGTGGAAATAGTAAAACACTTCAGAAAAATAGCAATTGAAGCTGCTTGTATTACATTCTCTGATTAAGTTTCCAGTTTTTGTGGAATGGATCAAAAAATGTTGGCTAGGCTTTTCAGTTGATTTTAATCCTCATTTCAAAAGAACTAAAGATCAAATTGATGAAGACAGAAGTTTACAGTCTGTCTAAGATTCTTTTCCTTTCTTCACTTAGCCTCGGCTCTTGAGCAGTTAGCAAAAGAAGATGAGGATTGGCAATTGACACGTTCACCTTCTTCATGCTTGTGCCAAATCATGTGAATAGATACGTATGCCCACAAACTTTTAGTATACAGTTCTTTAATGTGAAGTTACAGAAGTAAATTGTAGGTTGCATTTAAGATAGTTCTTTACTGTTTTTTTTCCTGTTTTAGTTAGCTTTATTTGCAGGAAAACCTACAGCTAATCACTGGCACTTTGGTTGCTGTGGTATCTACAGATTTTGAACGTTTACCAGCTGACCAGTTTCTTCTTGCAATGTATTTTCACTTTGTCCTGTAATAAATCAGTGCTGCACTTTGTGGTGTGTTTGTATGAAAAAAATCAAAGGGACTTGAGGAACTTCTGGATTTGGCAAAGGTACCTCTAACTCTGGAGACAAGTATCTTTCATAAGGAATCCTATACTGAAAGAGATCTGTAGTAGTTGTCTGAATTAGTAACAATATTTGGACAAAGAAAGTTGTTGGTTTATTATAGTTGCGTCTGATAGCTCTCAGTTCATAGATCATCCGTCTTTGTGCTTGTGTACTGTACACGCAACAAAGATACGCTTGCCCCAGAGAGTTTACAGTTAATACCTATGTTGCACAACTGATTAGTCATAAGCTGCACGTAGTTAGAATTTTTCTGTCTGTGGTCCACTCTTGAGCACACCTTTTTCAGGACTCCTTTGGGAGCGAATTGAGAGTGGATGGATTAATCTAGAGATGGCCACTTGCTCCCAAGCACTAGATTTCCTAGCTGCTCTGTGATCCTCTCAGTTGCTAGTGGTATGCCACCTGGATTCACCAGATTTTTCTCATTCTAGCCTTCTCTTGAGAAATCCAGATGATGTTATTTATTTCCAGGCTATTTACTTCCAGGATCAGATTGCTTTACTTAGAGCAATTAATCTGGACCATGTCCTAGGAAGACTTGAATTTACCACACAGGTACATTCCTGTCTACTTCTGAAGAGTGCATTACTCAAATCAGATTATATTATGTGAGCACAGTGGATTTGCTAATAAGGTAGTAGAGGTACTATGGTATATTTGTTGCTAAAATAAATTCATGTAATCTGCCTGACTGAACAGATTGGTCAAGACTCCTAAGGGTTTTCTTTTTGTGCTGTCTTCAGGCTGCCTAGTGAGAGGTTCTTTGGTAGTTTAAAATAACCTGAACAGTTCTTGTCTCAGCATTAAATGTGCTAGCTAGAAAAATCTTCTAGAATATTTATGTAAAAGATGCCAGGTCATTTTAATATGTTTATCTGTTGGGAAAAAAAAGGGGCTTGCATGTCTGAAGTCACTGGGGCTAAGGATAATGGTTTATAGAGAAAGACTAATGTTCATCACAACTTCAGATTTCTGTTTATCTAGCAAATCATATGTGCGAGTATTGATCTTGTATTGCATTTGAGGGGAGCTGCAACAAAAATCATTTTTAGTCATGCTTATTGAGTCTATCACCTTTCTTAACAATGCAGAAAGACTGATATCAGAGATGGTCATGGAGAAAAAACACGTCCAGCCAGAAGTGTATGTATATGGCAGTTTCAGTATAAAAGGTTTAATAGATCTGTGCAAATTAGCTCTTTTGGGTCTTGGTTCTTTTTGCAAACGTTTAGTTGGGGCTCATACATTAGCAGCAGTTAGACTGTTGCTCAAAGCAGACATTCAAGACATACGACAGCCACCTTCCAGCATGACATAATTTTGGGTCAGCTGCTGTCAGTTTCTATAGTTCCAAGTGGAGTTTAGTAACCCTGACTTTAACCTAAAAGACGGAGTGGAATGCAGGTCTCCCTTGTGGTAGCACAGTATGCTGTCAAGTAACTGCTGGACTGAACAGATGTATTTTTTTTTTTTAATGAGATTTAGTTGATCTAAAGCCAAAATAAATTGACTTCGCATGAAAGAGTGATATTTTCAGAGATGCATGGGAATAGAATTGTCAGGCAGCAAAAGTATACGTTCCATAAGAACAGACTGTCTTAGGTTCAAAAAGATTACCACCAAAATAGTATCATTTAATGTGAAAAATTACTTAAATGTGTTCTTTTTCTACCTGTGCAGAACTTTAAGTGTGAAAATGAACTACTTAATTTGAAAAACATTCTCTGCTTTTTCTTTCAGCTTTTGCAGTAAGTATAGTTCCTGAAGGTACAGAAGAAAAGACTGAACTGCCAGTGCTGCAGGTACTAAATTCTACTTGCCAGAGCAGCAACGTTTTACGGAGAGTTTAAAATCATCTAGAAAAGTCTAACATCTGTGACATTGATTAATTTGATCATTTACTTCAGTGGGACTAAACGTCATGCAGTGTCTTTCTCTTCTGTGAGGCACATGTGATATCTTTAATGGGACACACATTACACGTAGCACTACTCTCCTAATATTTCTAGCATCTTAATTTGCCCTACAGATTCTTAGAACTGCTATAACAAGCCTCAACTTAGCACCTTTGGTTCCTTTCTTACGTTGGATTTTCTGATCTCTGTTGGTTTGTATTAACAGAATTTGTTTTTTGGGTTTTGCTGTAGAACAAAATAATAATTTAGAAAACAATTTTGTTTCTTTTTCCAGGATCAACTTAAGAGTACCTTAGAAACTTATAATAAAAAGAACTTTGCTATTTTGAAGTTTTTAGAAGTTGACAGTGCTATCACATGCTGTCCAAAATAGTTTTTGAGAACATAATCCTTATTATTTCAGAGATATGTTTTCCTTTCTTCTAAATTTTGTTAAATGTACAATACATTAAGGAGAAAATTAGTGTCTTTCTGTTAAATTAGCTTTCTTATATATTACTGTGATATTCATGGCTCAAGTAAGCCTTGTATATGAAATCTCATGTTAGCAGATTAGAAGAACTACTAGTCAGAGCAGGCCCTAGCGTTCAGTTAAACAACATAATGGGTGTTAGGCATGTGTGAAAGTATGTCCTTTAACAGACTTGGGTGTGTGTGTATGTATTTATGTATATATCTAAAAGGACAAATTTAAGGGAAAAAAATCAAACAAAAATACTGCAATTAGTCAATGGTAGAATATATACAAGCCACTTAGATCTAGTGATCTCATATAAAATGTAACAGAAAGTATGGTCAAAGATAAGTGTTTCTTAATAGTCTTTGTTCTTGTTGATGACTGCTACAGCTACACCAGTTTTCATAAATTAAAAAAAAATCCCTGTTGCAAAGTCTTGGTCTACTATAGTTTATCTGGCAGACTAGCGAATATGTCATCCTGTTTTCATTATTTCTAAATAGCTGCTTGTCAAATTCCAGTACTGTTTCACTCTTGGATAAAGTCGGAGGTGCCTCCTAGAACTCTTTAGGCTGAAATCCCTTTGTGTGTTTGTGTGTAGCAGAAATGGAACAGGCAATAATTGTAAACAATAGTCTTAAAAAAAAATGTGGAAAGAAAAAGTAATTGTCAATTACGACCTATTAGACTGTCTACACCGCAAAGCACATAACTTGTTTGTGTGAAAAGTTAATCTCATTATTTTGAATATGATGTAGGTAAAGTTAGAATGTGGTAAAACGTGCTGTAATTTGGCAGTACTGTATATAGTCATCAAGATAACTTAAGTCTTTAAAGATTTTTTTTTTTAACTTTATTCACTCAATCAGCAAAAAAGGGTCACAAGCACTGACACAATAGTCATTCTGAAAACGTTTTGCAAGGGGCTAACAAGGAGGTTGGAGAGTCATGCATTTATAGCAATGTCATGGGTTGCAAAGGAAATTGCGTATCTGATTTTGTGCTTATGTGCAAGGATTGTTCGTTCCTGGTTTGTGAGGAAGTGCGTGCTAGATTAAATAGGTCTGGAACTCTGAGGATTGTGCAAGTGATTTCTACTTATCTGCTCAAGTCAACATTAAAGTCTAGTTATTTTACCACGTCAATAAAGTGTTAAGGGTGCCTATGGCATTAGATGAGTACCTTTTCAGTTACATTTGGTGTCTACTATGCATCTGATGTATTACAATGTGTAATTAGCTATTTTAATACAGTTACAGTGATGGTTACTTGAATCATTTGGATATGAAGATTGCTATCTAGAATAAACATCTCGTTTGTATATGGGGACAAGTAATTGGACAGTTACTTTTTATTTTAAAACTAAACGTGCATCAGACTTGTGTAGTGAGTTCACCTCTTGACTGTCAGAGGTGACTAGTCTCCCAGATTGCTTTAGCCTGGATTTCATTGCTTAAACTGTTGCTGAGCTAATTTTAGTGGTTTTTTTCCTGCGATTTAGGTGTCTTTTCTGGAAAGCGATCTGGGAAATTTACATCAGTTTGCATGTTACCTTAGTTATTGGTCTGCTCATAGAGTAGAATATGCTTGTAGTTTCCACTCTGATTATGCATTTCATAATGCATACGCATAATGCAGTGTAAAAGTCAGAGCTGGACAGAGGGAAAGACGCAAGTAGGTCTAATAGGATTAAATGGATATGGTATTTGACAAATGGGGAGAATAAGAGTGCTTATAAATACAAATTAAGTCATGAATGTAGGATAAGTATATAAAGTTATTACTTAGGAGCACCAAGTATGGTATTTTTATCTGAAGGTCTCAAAACACTTGAACCAAGATAAATCTTACAGCATCCCTGTGCAATTAGTAAATATTATCTTGATTATACCTATGGGGAATCCAAGGCACTGAGGTGCTATTACTAAGGAGAAATTGTTCAGATAAGTATAGGCTCTGCTTTCCTTCCTACAGTTTTCGTAGGAAGTGCAAAGGTAGTTCTCCAGTCCAGTCTCTCCACCAGTCAGCAGTTCTTAAACAGGCTTTTCCAGCCAGCCTCTGTTACTCAGAAGCAGTTGAATACACTGCTGAGATATTTTTAGAATCTGTATCTTGGTTTCCTGGGTAATAATGCAAACGTAATGTCACTGTTGTGTATTCCCAAGCAGTCTGTTAAAATTCCATCATAAACTTATATAATAACATTACTTTACTGGAATTTACTTAGGTATGTACAACAACCGTTTTCGTGTGTGTTTGTCTTGATATAAGTTGTTTTGGGGGCTTTCTTTAAGAGTCGTGTTTCAATAGATGCTTGATAGTTGATCAGATACGAGTAAGTGTTTACACCTCCAAATGGGTGTCTTTTATGGAGTTCCTTGTTCCAAAATTTGTGCTCTGATCACAAAGGAGGCTTTTTGTTTTTTTTTTAAAAAAAAAAAAGGTAAAATTGCTAGGATTAACTTGAAAAGCTCCAGGATAAACTGAGTCATGAAAAAACTCTATCATACTTTTTCATATTCTTTTAATATGTTATCTAGGTAATGGTATGCAAGCATGTAGAAAATCTTTCCCTCTTGATGAAAAACTTATTATGTTTTTTTTTATTAGTCCTTGAGTTAAAACCTCATATATCCATGTACAAGCTAATACATGTTTTCACTCTCTGGATCTGTCTGTAGATCAATATTTGAGGTTTTGCTTGCATTCTAATTTTACTTTTCCCCCCTTCTAGAAGTCTGAAAAAAGTGGAACAGTGGGTAAAATAAGCAGAGGTAAGTACCGCATTTTTGTGTGCAAACTTTTGCTAAGTTAGTACTGAGGTTTATAAGCTGCAAGATTTTTTCCTGTGCTGGCCCTGCATAATCTATTTTCACTTTTATGTATAAAATTCAGTTACTCTGTGGAAAAACAACTGTGTAACTGGTGCCTAAATGGTCAACAGTACTGTTAGTTAATTGCTATTTCCTAAATATATTTTTTTCCTTGCTCATGTAGTCTCATCAAGCTAAAACTTCTTGATTTCCATTTGTATTTGTAATTCTTGTAGTTAGGCTTTTTTTTTTTTTGAAAATGTGTGCTTTTGCATTGTTACACTGATGCATTGCTTTTTATAGTACATGAGGTTTTTAATCAAATTTAATGATACTTAGTAGCAGTTCTTGCAAAGTTTTATTATGAAACTGAACGCAGCCATTCTGATAGGCTCTCATGGTGCATAGTCTCTCATGGACTTACAATAACTGGAAACAAGTGTTTTTAAAACATGTGAAACATTAGTAGGATAGTGAGTGGTAAAATAATTTTTCACCGGACATGTGAGATAAGTTATGAGAATAAAAATTCTGCAAGGTTCTGCCTTAAAGGGTTGCAGGAAATTTTTCTAATAAAATCTGAAAGCAGGTCTGCTGTCCTTTCAGCAAAGAGTTCACAGATCTCAAATAAAATCTTCCAATATCTACAGTGAAACCTTGTGCTGCCCCTGCTACACTAAAGCAGTTCAAACCTGAGTTTTAAAGAAATGTGGACTGTACGGTACTTCTGACTTCTAAACCCCAAACACTACTTGTTTTAAAAGGAGCCAGCTTGACCATGTTTCTGTTGCAGTGGCTTCTGAGTAGTTGTAAATTCACTCTGGCATCAAAGCCCAATACGAGGAACACTTAGTGTGCTTTTACAGGAGCTACTAATGGAACTTGAAATGGTACTGAGAAGATCTGTTATTTTATTTTGACTTAGTTGCAAGCTCTGTCCCTGGCACAGATAACGACTTTTGTGGAAAATAATGAAATCCCTTGTCCCAGTAATCTCCAGTTTTATCATTAAGAGGTCAGGACCTTTTTATAGAAGTTTTAATACTCTGTTTCCTTGTTCGTTATCTTTTTGGGGTGTCAAACAAAGTCTGTTTCCTCTTTCTGTGTGTTCTTTGATCTATTTATGTGGAATCTCTTAGCAGAGCGAGGTGCAGGTTGCTACTGTTTTCACTCCCAGCAGACCTGCTTTGCCTCACTTCATAGAACACCCAGACATGCATTTGCAGACAACGTTTTTTTAACTTTTGCCAGTGTTATTTTTATAAATTTTGATATAATCTCATTACTTAGAAACATTACATTTAGGAACATTACAATGTTATGTTAGTGATGTAACTAGTATCTGTTATCTATTTGTTTTAGTAGGAGAATGGTTAAAACCAAGCAAATGAAAGTACATTGTGCAGCAGATAACAAAATTCAGGTACTTGCTGCAACAGGAAGTTGTGGAATTAAACAGTACCGGCAGGTTCAAGAAGGGATTAGATATGTCCATGGGCTAGTCCATAAATGTATATTAAAAGAAATAGGCAGCAATATAACTTCTAGCATTCCTAATACAATAGTTGTAGATGTTGGTGGAGTACAAGGAGCAGTGCAGAAAGTGAAGGTCGCATGATCTCCCTAAATAATGTTTCCTATTGCAACTGCCAAAGAGAGGGTACTGGGCTAGATGGACCATTGATTTGACCCGATAGGTCTTTTTTTTTACTTTCTCTTACCCTTTCAATGGAAAGCCTACCTGTTTTTGTTTTGTTTTGTTTTTTATTAATTCTTTTTACTATGCACATTGTCAAGCATTTCTGTGGGAAGGGTAAAATCAAAGATAAACAAGCCAGTGCTTGAAATGGAAAATGATGAAGTTCTTGATATTTCTTAGTCGCTGTGATTTTTTCATTCTTCTTTTTCAAGTTGTTATACAAATCCTGTCTCCGTTATCAATAAACTGTACCTTTGCGCAAAGGAAGCAAAGTTGTTGTCCGTAGTCTTCGTTTCAGAGATTTAAGAGATCTTTTTAAATGTCCTTAGCCTAGTCTTGCTTTTCCTTTGAAGACAAGAATCAAAATCTCTATTTCCTAGCCACTGGGAGGGCAAGTGTAGTAAAGAGAAGTTTGGCTTCGTGAACTCATCATAGCTTTGTCTACCCAGAATGCGTTGTAGCGTTCTAGACTGGCTGGTGTGCGAAGAGCTAGCTCCCTGTAGGCATATGTTGTGTTATAGCCCAGCCAAAAGATCATAGTGATGTGACTTACTGATGTTGGCTCGTTACTGCCAGGCCATGGCAAAAACTGTTCAGATGCGTATACCTTCTAATGATGAATGTATTTACACCCTGCTTGTAGGCTGATTGCTGGCCAACACTGTTTTTTGCTTTTAGCATGTTTGAAGTACAGAAGGAAATCTCCTCTTGAAGTGAAGCACTGGCTTTTTCAGTCAGGTGTAGCAGTTGCTCATCTTTCATTGTATGCCATGATTTCTGAGAATTTAGGAGAACTCATTTGGTAAATACAGACTGAGCAAGTAATTGAGAAAGCTTCTTGAATATGCCTCATTTGTTTCAGTAAAGTAAATAACATGTTGGCATTTAAGATCAGAAAAGTCATTTACAACTGGGATAGCTATGGTGGGCAGGATTTGTCAGCTTCCTTTAAAAACTTTGTAGTCTGTTAGTATAGCATCAGCATAGCCACTGAATTAGCTTATGTCCTGTTTGTAGTATTGACTGTTCTCTGCTGCTGATGCTTAGGGTTATCCTTTTGTATTTGCTTAATGCAGAATGTTGGGAAACCTAAAGGGACATATAAACACAGAGGAGTGGACAGGGCCCTGGGATGAGCGGTGTGTTGATTGAGGCTAGTAATGATGCCACCTTCTCTGGAAACTCAAGGAAACCCTGAACCTGGGAGCAGGGGTTCCCTAGATTCCTTCTGCAGTGTATGGAAAGCAAGGGGCACTTCCAGAGGGTGACTGAGATTCTAGGTAGGTTGAATCATTCTCTCTGGAGATGTGTCTCTCACCACAAGATCCTTCACTAGCTTTTGATTGTGGGGTGAGGTCTTGTTTTGTTTTTTCTTTTTTCTACATGTGTGTTAAAAGAGTGAAGAGGAGTGAAATAGTCCTGAGGCTTTTTTCTTGGATTTGATTCTTGCAAAGAGGATGGTGTTACACCTCTTCTGGTCTGCAAATATCTGCAATATCCTGAAATGACCAAAAGTGTTCTAATCAGTGATATTCTTTTAATAGCCAGCCTGACCTAATGCAATTTGTCCAAGATGTCTAGGAGTTAATAAGGGAAGTTTGGGTGGAAAGGTGAGAACAACGTGTGATGTTTAGATGCTGCCAACTAAGTATTTCATCTTACGTGCATGAGGCACATGGAAAAATCATCTTGAAGATCTTAGGTCGTCTACAAAGGTAGGCAACTGTTATTTATAAACAAGGTTTATTTTGGTATCAGAGCAAATGCTTAGGAGAGGAACTTTTTTAAAGTAAGTGTAAAGACATCATTTTGGGTTCTGAGGTAGTAAGCAATGTATTTAATGCATTACAAAGCTATAAAGCATGCATAATTTAAGAACATCTGTATACTATTTTCTTATTTCTAGTTTTGAAAGGTACACAAGTGTACTCGATGCGGCACATTTGAAGTTGATTTTGAAGTTTTTTAGATGTTCCTGAGGCAAATAGTTTAGTAAAATTCAGAAAATAGACATATCATAAATACTCAAACTGTGTTAAGGGACAGTGAGTTTAGAATGGCTTTCAGTTATGCTGCAGGCTATAAGCAGATCACCAATCATTATGATGATTATTGAATGTATGCTAAATAACTATGCACACATATATGAGATTATATATATTTTTGTGTGTGTGGATGTGTATACATACACTGCCCTTCATCCAGAAGGATCCCAGTAACTTTATATAAACCCATTTAGAAATTGTTGTTCTTATCTCAGTGTGAGAAAAGACTTTTCTCTGGGTTTAACTATGGAAGCTTTATACCGTGCTGCAGTAATCTGCTCAAAATACGAGAACCAAAACATCCTAATTTGGAGTTTCAGGTTGCTTTTAGATTTGGCATAGCAGGGGGAGAAGCCTTCAGAGTAGGCAAATGGCTTAATTTTTAGACACTCAAATTGGAAGATTAGTTTTCTGATCGACACAGTAGAGTCACCAGTGTAAAGCACCGGAGTATCTCTACAGTTTTGTTTTTCTGTGTCTGACTAAATAGTAAAATATGCTTTATACTCTCTCACTGGAACAAAAGCCTGGTTTTTGTTGTACAAATATTTCATTTAACCTTAAACAAATTAATTTTTGCCAGCGTTTCTTAGGAAAAACCCCAAAGAAATGAAGAGCTTAGTTTAAGCCTGACAGTGTTGTGGACTTCTTGTATCTAGTAGGGTGCATTCTAACCATTGGTCTAGTTGTTTTGGAGACATAGGTATAATTGCTGGAAAGGATTTGGACTCACATCACACGTACCCCAGGAAAGTATAATCATCATCATGGGTTGCTCCATCTTTTCTGTTGATGCCTGTTCTACATGCTTTTTAATGAAGTGCTTAAATATTCAGTGAGTCAGAGACATAGTTCTCGATGCCTGCTGTGTCTGGTGAGTTATGTAATTGGGATGCTAGAGTGTCATTTTTTCTTCTCCATATCTAGGAGAGAATGGGGAAGACCCACCTCAGAATTTAGTTGCAGCCTAGTGGTTAAGATATTCACTTGGACCACCAATGACCTGCATTCAGGTGCATCCTGCCTCGCTTGAATAACAGCTTAGAATTTGGATTTCTCACATCCTGGCCGAATGCTCTAACCACTAGCTGGAAGAGAAAGGCTAATAGGCAACATCATAATCACCTTATGTTCCTCTAGTGTTTGGGGCTTTCTTTCTCTCTTTTTGCCTACTTGAAATGTAGATTATAAACTCTTCAGTAGTTTAGAGTTGACTAAAACTACTTTTTGTGCTGAGTAAGCTTTGTTTAAAAAAAAGAAAACATTGAGGTCGTTATAGTACAAGGCGTATCTTTGAAATGGCAATATTTTCCCACCACCGTCTTTTGAACTGACTCAGCGATGATCCCAAAGGAGACACATTTATTTGTGTCATCGTGTACTCTCCAGAGCACATGTTGCTGTTGATAAGTTTGTTAAGGCTCCATTCTGTTTCACAGTGAGCATGGTGGTGATAGGACTCAGGAGGTTTCAGCCTATTTCCCACCTCTTCTTTTGTATGTGAACTTGCAATATCTTTCCAATCAATGAGCATTTTAGATTGAAGAGGGTTTCCAGATGTGGAAGTGTCTTAGGGAAATGAAAAAGACAACAACAAGAGAAATAAAGTATCAGAATATCAGTAGCTCTTTTGGGTATTAATTTTCTGAAAGACTCCATTCTCTGTCTTGCTTGGTTGGCTGTTTCTCAACTTGAGAAAAAATTGATGTAGGTGTGCAGTAAAATAGTTATAAAATTATGCATACTTTTTGCTGGCATTTCAATACAGTGAGTATTTATGAATTAACGTGCCTACACCAGAGGAAAATTTTTCCATTGGACTAAAGCAATAGTGCCAAAGTAGGTGTTAGATTGCTCCTGGAAAATATGCTGTTTCAGGATATCACAGTTGTTAAATGTGCCATAAGTGAAACTGAGTGTAATTCAGATGTTTGTATATCTATAAATGTGCTGATAATAAAACAGTAATTATACAAAGCAGTCTAGTTTTTGCGTTTTATCTCTTGGGATATTTTCACCATTGTACATGTAAATTTAACGCTTTAATGCTCATTACCATCAATAAAGTGTAATTGTAATGCCTGCACTGAATTTATTTCCTGCTAGATAACAAATAGCTGGTATTCAGAAGGTTTTATTCCACAGAATTTTTTTAAGCAGTCTGTCAAGTGGGTCAGAACATAAAGGGGTGTTGTGTGGGAGAAAAATGGGCAGTCAGTACTGATACCTACGTCAGTGCTTATGCCATTTCCACAACTTTATCATCAGAAACTCACCACAGTTTGGCATCTTCAGAGTTTGTCTTGATGGATAAGCTAATAAATTGTGGGAAAAGAACATCATGGTAAAAGTAGAAAAACACTTAACTGGTAACTTGTATTTGAGCTGTCATAGGTCTAAATTAGCAAACGAGTAAATCTCTATATGGAGGAACAAAGGAATGTAATAGATGGTCAGGCCTTGGATATTGTCATCTTTTTTTGTAATCTTAGCAAAGATATTTTGTGTTAATGTTCTTTTTGTTGCCACTGTTTTTCTTGTAATCCCTCTTCATGTGCTCAATTTTACTGTTTTTCCTTGACACTACTTCCTTCTTTCTTTCTTTGGAAATTTATTCTTATTATTAATTCTTTGGAAATTATTATTTTTTTTGTTCCACTGTTCTTCATTCATTGTACTCTAGTTGCTGTGTTACGATTTTTATCCTGGAGGTCAGGTCCTTAGTGTGACGCTAGAACCTTGTAGAATGATTTGGTCTATGATGCATGATATTCATTTTATAAACTAATATTGCAGCATGTAAAGTTTGAATTTGTATCACACTGCAACTGCAGATTAGAAGTCCTGGAACAGTGTTCTGTCTGACAAGAAACTTCACATGCCTCCTGTAAGGTGCTTTATCCTTGGGATGTTTTTCTTCACCCAGACTTCACTTGTAGTAAAATCTGGCCGCTTTTCAGGCAGCCATCACTGTCCAGAGTTTCTCTACTGAGCATTCATCCTGGACGCTTTTCAATTTGACATCTCCTATATCCCACCGAAAGTGTTACTTTCAGAACTACCAGTAATTGTTCTTAGAAAAACCTCTTAAAGGTACTTACTCTATCCTTATTTTCTTTCTCAGCTTTCATAATGTTGCTAATGATGCTGGTCTTGAAGTTTCACCATACTGAAATTTGAGTCCTATATCTTTTTTTGTACCTATATAATTTTTTCAGTGTGCCCTTTGATCCTTCCCCACTTCTTTTGGCATTTTACATAAACTCCATACCACTTTATCTTTGGTTTCTTCCTCTTTTCCACTCTCTTGTCATGTAGTGATGTCATCACAAAACTTCAAACCTTTCCTATGTTGTCTTCTCCTTGAGCAAACTAACATCTGTTGTCTATTATGATTGATCTGGCTATCACGTTAAGTTTACTGGGATATAAATGTAGTTCTCAGGCCATCACTTTCCCACAAGTCCTCTAGTTATCTCCTTGTACTCTGGACGACATCATTACTGTCCTGTTTATTCCTTGGCCTTTAACTTGTCCGTCGTTGACTTCAACCTCTAAGTTGTTTTGCCCTGCTTTTCATTGGCTGCGTGCTTTCTGCATAGTGTCAGTGAAGTTCAGTCTTTCCCTGCCACCAAAGAGCTAAACTGCAGTGTGATGTCCCCTCATCTCATCCTTTGATTGCTGCTTTCGGCCTACGTCAAGTTTCCTTATGATTTTGGAAGGGTTGCCAATCCTCTCTTCCTCTCTCCTTCTCATCCTCTATTGTCCTCTGCTGTCTTCTAATTCTGCACTGGATCAAATCTGCCTGCTTTTCTTAGAATAAACCCTTAGCACTTTGAAAGCTACCTATTATCATCAAGAAAATTGGACTATCTTCAGTTTCCCTGCAGTATCAACCTTCATCACTCGTTTGTGTTTTCTAGTAAGCACTTTTTTTTTCTGTCGGTAAATGTTTGCAAAGCTAGTTCATTATTTTCTTTTACGTTTCTCCAGTCTTTTTTCTTGTTGAAAGTTCTTAACTGTGATGTCCTTAAACACTGTAAATTAGGGAAAGGTGAGGTGTTGATACTGCCTTGTTGTATAAAAGACTATTATCTCTTTGTTCTCCTGTATATGTCTCTCTCCATCTGATGTGTGTCTTTGACTGGGGTTTTAAGCTCTTTAGTCAGGAACCATCTCTTTTGTTTCATGTTCATCCATTGCCTAGTTAGGTGAGATGCTGGTCTATGACTAGTAGCTTTTGCTGTGGTAATAATGAGCGCTGGTGTGTTAGAAAGCAAATCATGAAATTATATAGCTTGTGTGGTTACTGTTACTGGGTGCATAAATTTATTTGTTGCTGCACATCTCATAGTTATGTCATGCCTTTTCCAGTTTAATTCTTAAAAGGACTATTGTGGAATTTTTTTGTTAAATTAACTCTTTTTACTATTTCATGCAATGTTTGTGTAGTTAAATAGCTTGCTGTATAGATTCCCCCAATCTCTCCCATCCATATTCTCAGTAGCTTTGGAGCGAAATTTAAAATAACGTCTTTTGTCTTTACATCTTCTTATTTTCTGGTTCACAGAATTAAAAGAAATTGTATTTATCATCCAGAGTCAAAGTAATTCTTTTCATTCCAAGAGAGCAGAAGATCTAAAAAGAGATATTTTAAAACAGGCTGCAGATCTTGGAAAGGTATGTTTAGATAATACAGATTGCACCTTGTTATATATGTTTTTACAGCATTTTACTTAAAAAAAAAAAAAAAAAAGTGGTTTTCTATTGTGCCTTTTTTATGATCCATTTTATTCCTTTGGTTAATTGTCTTCTGTATGTACCTATGAGAAAACTGTTTCAATGGGAATGTATTGGTTGGTTGTATACAGTGATTTTAACTTGAACTATCTACCTTTCTGTATAACAACTGCTTTTGTTTGGATGACGTTTGATGTAGACGTGATAAAAAGAAAGACTTTGGAGAATAAATACTTGCAAAGAAGTTACCCAAAAGTACTATAATTTCTTTAAAAAATTATGCTTTTTTATGATGTGAACACACGTAATTGTTTAAATAATATTTAAAATAACTTCTAGGTGAGTAGTTCATTATTTTGTTAGAGCAGATGAAAATGCTGTAATGTAGGTTTTTGTCAGAATTTCATTATGTCACTGTAGCATTGTGGCATTGAGCAGAGAAACAGACATGAAAAAAATCTCAACATGAGGTTTCCTACTTTCTACAGTGATCTTCACACCTTTCTTGCCCACCTCTGTCTCCCTCTCTCCCTGGTACAGTGCCTTCCCTAACTGCTCCAGCATCTTCAGCTTCTGCCACCCAACTGCAGACCAAGCGCTCTGCCTTTCACCTGCTGGTTGGCTCTGCTGATCTGGGAACAGCATGCTATGTCACAGATGTAGCATGTTGTGCTGATTTTGACATAATAGTCTAATACGAAATTGTACTTGTGAAGCTTTAGCATAGAGAGAAGAGGTTTTTGAGAGATTTAAATTGACAGTTAAGACTTACATGAACAATTCTTTATTTTCTTTGTCTTTAACAAAAAAGAGGGGAAAGGGGTGCATGCCCTGATACAAAATAGCCTACTCTGAGGTTATTGGACCTATTTTTCAATTCCAGAATGTTTACTCTAAACGAAAAATAAGTTTGTTATAAATTGTCACGTATATCTTGGCCCTAAACTGGCATGGCTAAATTAGATTCTAATTTTAGCCTTCATCTGTCCAAGCTTACCAAACCTATTGCAATTAAATATATTCTAAATGTACTTTTTAATCCCTTAATGCAGTCAGTCCTGTGGACAGCCTTTGCACCTCTGTGGAGTTTTGCTCTTTCTGAGTCTTCTTTGGGGTTGAGGCAAGTGTTTCAGATACAATGTGTACAGACGTGATTGAGCGTTTAGTAACAACTAAAGCAGGAACAAAATGGAAGGATTTTAGTTGAATTCTGTAGTTGATGTCGCGTAATATGAAAGGTGAAAAGATCAAGAACTGGAAATACAAATACTGACCTGCAGAAACTGCAGTGGCTTTTAAAAACGCCTATTTTGTAATTAAGGAGATTCCTTTATGGGAATGCTGAAACAGTAATGCTTTTCAGTATTAAGTGGTATCTGTTAAACAGCATTCATGGCATTTCAGATGAGCAGTGACGGAAATAAATCAAACAAAAATTTTCATACCCAAAATCTGGGAAAGGGGATAAGCCATTAATTTACAGAAAAAAATGAGCATAGCCAGCCTATTCTTTCTGTCCTTGTTTTTGTCAAATCTCAATCCCACTTTTCTGGGCATTACTCAACAGGACTGATTATTGATAGGAGACAGAAAATCTGTGCAATCCTGCACATCAACATTTGAAGTTCACATTTTTCATTAAAAAGAATAGAGACAGAATTATTACTTTCTGGCAAAGGAAACTCAGTGATTGCATCTTGAAGTATAATTGCAGTACAGAAACAAAGCACTGCGTCAACTGAGTCATTAGGTACACTTCTCTGTCTTGTGGCAAATAAGTAGATATTTAGTCCAGAAGGATCCATTAACTAGTTACTGTTTTCCACCGTCTTAAAATGAAAACTGGAAACCTGCTACTACATTTGTTTTGTTTAATTGAAGTAGAATATCTATGTTGCTTTGAAATGGATTATATCACGTTCACATTTACATTAACCTTTAATTTATCCATTTATTTTCTTTCATTGTACACTTTAAAGAGAAATTTTAAGGAAAAACTAGTCTATAATTCTAGACACCAACAGATGTCAATATTGTTTTCATGCTCAGAAGTGTAATTCGTAGATATTTCTTAAGTATTAAGCAGAACTCTGTGATACATTAAACAATGGCTAGGCCATAGCAATGAAGTTCCTTAAAGTTTTTACCAATTTTCTTAATTTTCTGAGTTTTCTACTTTTAAGAAGCTCTGCAAAGTAGGCCTTCCTAGGAAACATAAGAATGAAGAAGCTATCACAGTGTAAAATTACAGTATTTTTGACTGTCCTCTTTCTATCTTAACAAATATAGCAACAGGATTGCTTTTTGGGCTGACACATTTACAACTGGAAAATAAAATACTTTTTAAAAAAATAGATTTTGTCTGAAATATTGTTTTTGATGCAGTAATGCTATTTAGTTGCCTGAGATAAGATAATTATGAAGACAAAGGGCTCCGTATTTCTTTATGAAAACTTGTCTTAAATGCCTTTTTTTCTTTGGAACACCTTAAACCAATTCATTATATTCACAGAGGTTTTTTTGGTTTGTTTTCTTTTCCCCTCTAAGAAGCCTAGGGTTTAAAGGACATCCTACAAACGTTAACCGGAAGAAATATAGCAAATTATGAACCTAGTAGTATTCATTCAATGATTTAAAAAATGTGAATGCAAGAATAAAATTTTAAGACTCTTTCTATATCATACTGAAAAATAAAAATGAGTATCACATGCTTCCGAATGAACAATAGATGTAGTGGTGTTTGAACTCTGTTTTATAGAATTGTTTTAACTATTGTTTGCAGTGTTTGTACCATTAGGCTTACTTTGTTTTGAGCAAATGCATGTATTTTGTATCATATAATAGAAATGAAGTTTCACAGGTTTAAATTAGTCCTCCATATAAAGGGAGGAAACACTCCTTATTTGTGAGTTTGGTGAGGGTTATTACTCTAATGACTACTATCAGTTTAAAAGAAATAAGTACAAGCACAAGTATGGAACTATGTTGAGAAGACCTCCATTGTTTGAATAAATGTTTGCCTGCCTTAACATCTTCATTGAGGACATAGTTCATCACATTTTCATAACTTTTTTTGTTTGTCAATCTATTCCTTTGCAATTCAGGATTTTGAAATGTTCTAGCTGAGGTGAAAATAGGTAGCAAATGTTACGAGCATCCTGGTTGTGTTCTTGTTTATTTGCAACAATTTTACAAAATCCTATTTCCTGAGGGGTAGCAGGAACAAAAATGATGAGAAATTCATTGGGAGTGTGCCACTGATTTGTGCCTCAGTTCAGTCTTGTTACCTCACAGGATCATGCTTAAAGAAGGTTCTGCTTTTCTGCTTCCAAGACACATTGATCATAAATTGATATTCTGGTTCCTGTATCTACAACCTGGGAAAGTGTCTTGGTGCCTGTCTTAGCTTTGTTTTATTATGCAGTTAGAGCCATGGCCACCATATCTAAAATATCCAAAAAGTGCCAATTGTTGTTGAGCATGGTGTATGTGTTTTAACATTTTGTTATTTTTGGTTCCCTACGCTGTACTGGTTGCAGCATTGCACTGAGGCGTTTAACTTTTAATAATATGAAAGATGTATGTGTTAAAGAGTTGGGGAGGAAGAAATAAGTATAATTAGCTTGCTTAAATTTTAACATATATATGTTAAACCATCGCTATATTGCCATCTGAAATGTTCTACCTCTGGATTTTTCCTGTTAATTTCTTTTTGGCCAGCTAGGAGAGAATACTTCAAGGGGATTCCTAGACTGCAACTTTTTTGTTTTTTTCTTTTTTCTTTGTTTCTTTCTTTTTTTTTTTTTTTCCTGAACTTGCCAGTTGGGATATACATTCCTATTCTGGATGAATGAATGAGCTCTGACATCCTATGCCACTTTTTCCTGGGCTGTAAAAATAGTTTATTTATTTCATTCCTTGTTAGATGTATGCCTGTTCTTCTGTGGAATACATGCCTCATCCAGATATGCACCAAGCTCTGATTCTGAGTCTTGAAGTAGACTTGAACAGTTCTTCATCTTACCCTGCTATAGAGCTAACACACATGTTAAAAATATGGTTATAAAATCTAGTGGAAAGATTTCTCGTTCGTTGCAACTGAGTTGTTCAAACTGAGTTGTATGTTTAAAGGAACTGTTCATGGACTTAATTTGCTGGAGACCTTTCACAATTAGTCGCATAAATACAATACAATCTGTAATGTATCTATTGTTTCAACTTCCAGATTTCTTGCTCGAAATTCTAGATTCTAGTTTGAAAATGCTGTTCCCTTCCTCTCCCTCCTGTTGCAGCTTCCTGTTCCACAGAACCTGCTTCCAGCAGAGCCTCATCAGATGCTTCATTTTCAGATCTTGCAGTTCTAACAAGCCAAGTCTCCTAACCATTTGTCTGGTCCAGTCGTCCCCAGATGCAGTTACACTAGTTTCTGTTCCACATTCAGTGGCAAACTCTGGTGTTTAACTGATTATATTTAAGTAAAATGTTAGGCTACCTTTTTGTCCTGCACCTATGTCTTCTCATTTAGAGAAGTTCCTCATTATGGCTAGGTTTTCCACAATATCACCATCCAACTTGTTATTTTTATATTACAACAGATCTGGTTTATACATATTTTAAAATTGTTTTATTTCCCAGAGTTACTAGATCTGGAATCCTTTTTTGGAAAATGTTAGTGTACAGATCTATATAAAGGATCTGTTTTCCTTCCTAGCAACAGCTTTCTTTTCTGCTGCAAGGATATATTCAAATAATAAATCCTACAGCCTCACAAAATGTGCCTGTCACCTCAGTTCTTAAAATGCTTATTGCTTAAGAAGTAAGAGTTTACCTTACTGTTTAGTGGAGAATTTTCATGGATTTTATTTATGAAATCAAGGCTCTTTGGCACATCTTCTATATTAGCTTTCCATTGTTTCCCCCCTCTTTCAGAACAAAAGCCA